CCAGAGGCACAGGTGGCTGCTGGTTTCCAGAACTCTGCTCAGAGGTATGGAAACAGCAGAGGACTGAGAAGCCCAGTTCTGTAAAACAAAAGTAGCTACCCTAACCCTAACCCTAACAATGCGTAAAGACACTGTGGAAGTGAAAAGAAAGCTAAAGAGTGAGCAAGCATACTCTAAAAACAGTCCTAGATGTCCTACAAATGATTGGCAGGAGGCATAATGCAGGCTGTTGGTTGGACCTGATGCATCCACATGGGGGAAGGTACATAAAGAAAGCCAAGAGGGCAGGTGGAACACTCAAGCGGAGCCCTTGACAAGGACATAGTGGTATGTAGCACAAGCAATAAGGCAAGCAGTGTGACTATCATCTTTTCTTTCTGTGAGTATACTGTGGTTTGCTTTGCATTTATGACAGTTCTGTAAAGACTGTCCTGATACATATAGCATATATTCTGATACTTTATTAGACACACAGAGACACACACAAAACAGTGGAAAGTGGTTAGTCAACTGAGAACACATTGGCCAAGTGACTCTGGCTTCATCTTATCAGTTGTCTTCATAAATGTTGAGGGAAAGTGGTGTGACACTAGGGAAATATGTGGTAGAAACAAGGACTAACCCCAAGATGGATGGAAAATTGATTTCCTGTAGTCTTTCAATGGCTTGGGAAGCAGAAAGTGCTAGTGTGAGCATATTCCAATGGAGACAGGCAGATATCAAAACTCTAGCAGCACCAGAATCACCTAGAAAATCTATTAAAAACACAACTGCTTGAATCCACTCCAGAGGTTCGTATTTGGCAGGCCTAGGATGGGGACTGAGAGAGTCTGTGCTTCATTCAAGGGTCCAGCCCTGTACACTCAGGTACCACACTTAGAGGACCACTGAGTAGACTGTTGCTCAAAGAAAAAAGTAGTTCAGGATGGCCCAAATGGCCAGTCTGGATTTGTATTTCCTTTGACATTTTTAACTCCAATTTTTTCCTTAACTACTGGAGTACTAAGTTTCAGCATTGAATGACATGAAATAATTTGGCCAGAGTTTTAAAAAAATGATGACAATCAATCTTACAAGAATGTATTTGGGGATTGTACTAGTTAGTTTATGACAACTTAACAAACTAGTGTCACCTAGGAAGAAGGGATCTCAAAGAAAGACTTATCATCAGTCAGACTGACCTACAGGCATGTGTATGGGGAATTGTCTTGATTAATGATTGATATGAGAGGGTCTATCCTACTGTGAACAGTGTCATCCCTGGACAGGTGGTCCTGGATGCTATAAGAAAAGTAAATGAGCCAACCATGAGGAGCAAGCCAGGTAGCAGCATTCCTCTGTATTCTCAGCTTCAGTTCCTGTCTCCAGATTCCTGCCTAGAGTTTCTACCCTGGATTTCCTAAGAGATGTCATGTGACTTGGAATTGTAAGATGAAATAAATGCCCCCAAGTTGCTTTTGGTCATGGTTTTTATCGCAGTAATAGAAAGCTAATTAGGGTGAGAACCAAGGTGTGTTCTTAAAGCTTCTAATTGGTTCATCATGCAGGCTAAGTTGAAGAGCATGGTTCCACCGAGGTCTCTGAGTATCATCTGCAGATTGTGACTACTTGGTTCCCTCAGTGTGACCTTCACAGGCTCAGACAAAACATGGAAATGTTTGCAATTGATGTGGTATTCTGTTCAGAAAACAGGCTCACCAAAGAAAGTAGATGTGTATATCTTTGGAAGGATCTCCAATGCTGCACATTTACAATTCTGTATCTTTCCAGGACCACATCATGATGCTATAAGTAACAGGAAGAAAGAGAAAATGTCAAAAATACACATCACCAATGGATATTCCCTGTCTATACTTCAAAGCACACTCCTGTGGGGAGGGCCTCATGCACAATGAGCCTCATCATTTTCTCCCTACCTTGGAGGTCACAGTTCAAATTCAGTGAGGAGATGACATCCCTTGGCTAAGGAAAGGCAACCTTTTCTAAAATCTCTCCTCCACTTATCTGTGGTATTTCTGTGAGTGACAAACAGACAAAAATATATTTATCTAGGGATTATCTATATTGAAAGCTAGGCATAGGATTTCTGTCTCTGTCAACATTACAGGCATATCAGCTATTTGAACAAAAGGAGAGGTATTTTCCCATTCAATCCCGAATGCTGAGGATTCTTCAGTTCATATTCAGAAAGACATTTGGTTTTATTGATCGTGTTAGCTGAATTTGTTTAAACTCCTATAGCCAGGCAAAGAGGAGGTTGATTTTTCTTTTATTGTAAAGGTTATTAGGGGGGAACCAGATATAGAACTTATTTGTCTTTAGACAATCCAGTGGAATCAGAACACTGAAATGTATTCTACAAGTTTTGTTCAAAGCCAATATTTTGATGGTATCAAGAATTACTGTATCACTTCATGGGAATTCTCATCTTATGATCTGAAGCTTAGCTTATTTGAAAAAAATGCCTTGTTATCATGGGATATTTATATATTATCCTGCTTTTAATTGATAAGACATTTCTAAATGTTACCAACAGTCTGAAAGTTGCAAGCCCTGATTGTGCCATTTGTGATCCCTTTGCTTTACACATTGCCTCTTGGCAGACTTTCTTAGCATCCTTTGTTACAAACCTTCCCTTGGAATGCATGCCCACCATCTCCAAATCCAAAAAGAATATGTCTAAAACACTGCGTGGTAACAATTCTGTTTTATCCCTCCTCAGTATCTATCTCTCTATCTATGTATTTATGGGGGTGCTATTCATTTGTATCAAGACAAGTCTTAACTAGGCTGGCCGCCAACTCACAATTCTCCTGCCTCCGTTTCCCAAGTACTGGGACTAAAACAAGAGTGTGGAACCATTCTTGGCATTTGCTTTAAAAAAAAATGTTACTACATTTCTTTTATTTAATTGGAGGGATGTCCTGCACATGCCATATAGCACATGTGGGGGTCAGCGAACAAATGTCCTTCCACCCTTTGGGTTCCAGAGATTAAACTCAGGTCTCCAGGGTGGGCAGCAGACACCTTTACCCACTGATCCATCCTGTCACACCTCTTCCTAGTTTTTCATTTCTTTATGTTACTTTGTTGCTTGTTTTTATTTTATGGGTTTTTTGTTTTGTTTTGCTTTGCTTATATTTGAGAAAGAGAGAGAGGGAGAATGAGGTTGAGTATATATGGAAATGGAGATATCTGAGATGAGTTGGGAGAGAGAAAAAAAATGACCAAAATATATTGTGTGGAAAAATAATAATAGAATTAAATAAATAATAAAATGACAAAAGAAAAGATGTAAGGGAATGAGACAAATTCCTCCAACACAACTCAAAACCACCAACACTCTTCCTCCCAGGAAGAGTTCAGTTATCACAGGACTCCTCTCCCAGGCTTTGTAGACAATCTGTAACTCATCAGTGAAAAGTGAGGGCATTAGAGGGACCATGGTGGGTGTGTCACATCATAGTGAAAGTTCAGAAAGAAGCAGGAACCTTACAGCCAAAAGACACCAGGAATGAGGACATCTACTCCTTCCAGACATGTCCTTTGTCTCAACCCATTATGATATTTACACTACAATAAAGTGCATGTGTCCAAGGACAGCCCTTTCTTTGCTGAGAGGACTGGTGTGACTTCTAGAAAATGACCACAATATTTTTAAATGAAGTTATGCAAATCTGATAGTCTAAAGTAAATGTTTCATAAAACCAATGACTGTTTAAATCGTAGGACTAAATTGTTTGTATATAAATATTACCTTTTATATTCCATTTGAGTTTTATGTAGATGAACACATTACTTTAATGACCTGCATTTACGGAGGGAGAGAGGGAGAGTGGTTCCCTGAAATCCTTGCCAGCCAGATGGCTGCCTTTTCTTGCATGAGATTAAAAGATGTTTCTCATTCACCATGATGCTTCTGAGGCAGATTAATATCTCCAGCTAAATTGCTTGTGTTTTCGGAATAAAATTTAAAGAGAACTTTTTAAAGCAATTGGTGTCACCGGTTCTTGGAGCAGATTGCTCTCCAGGTAGAGACACATTCGGTAATTAATGGAAAGAATTCTGTGTTAATTGACTGCTTCGGGAAGAGAGATATAATGACCCCTTATTAATCATCAAAAGAGTTGTACAGCATGGAGGTCCCACAATAATTGCTCCAACAGTGGAAAAAATGTTAATTAATGAAAAAGAACAATGATGTAAGAAATTAGCTACATAATGCCTGCCTCCAATAGCAGTTGCATTTTAAACACACTAGAGTGGAAACCACAGAGTGTTGCTTTAAGTAACAGACACACCGAACTTTCTACCATGAATTTAGGTCGGGGGATAAAAAAAAATGTTTTTCACAGTACTTCTGTCTTGTCTGCTTGAAGAAGTAAGAACTTTCACCCAGACCTATATTTATTTCAAAGAAAGGGCCTTTGTCAATCATCGCTGATCTAGGCTTTTTAAAATAAAAAACTGTTCCCAGACCAAGACAAGGTCATTTATTAATGCCCTTTGATTTCAGCACAGTAGGTCATTTTGACTGGTAAGGACAAAGGGAATGGAAAACAATGCTCTTCCCCAAATGGAAATCAGTAAATTCAGTTTCTGAATCTTTTCCAGACAGTATACAAGAAAAACCTTCAGATTCGCTTGGGGAGCCTAATTTCAAGTCTCTGAGAGAATAGCACTCCCTGTCTCTCTAACAACTTGTAGAAAAGGAAACTGAGTTTACTGAACATGTGAAGACACTATCAGAAGTCAGTGCTAGGCCCCTAGAATGTAGCAGCAGCATCAGTGGCCACCCTGGTGACCTGCCTCTGAGAAATTCCCAGGCCATCCTTCCCCAGGCTGGAAAAGGGGACACCAAAAGGATCAGGCAGCTGAAGAACAGAATGACACCAACATCGCTCACAGGTCCAGCCCCCTGAATGGACCGTGAGCTGCCAGCACTGCATCCCGAACAGATGCAGGAATTCCACTGACTTCACCCTTGCTTTACCTTCTAGCTGGAATGTGCTGGGACTACAAGGCGCACTCCTCTGTCACTTCATCGAGCCTGTGTACCTCCACAGCATCGTTGTGGGAAGTCTGCACCACACTGGCCACCTTGCACGGGTCATGAGCCACAGGATGGAGGGCATCGGCCAGCTGCCTGCCTCATACCGGCAAAACAGGCCTCTCCTTAGTGGTAAGACAGCAGTCTCATGACAGAGACCTGCAACCTCCTCCTTGTCTGTGGGCTGCTGAACACAGGTCCCATGGTTGCAACTCTTGTCTGATTGTATTCATGTTGACAACAGTAATTTTAAACTTAATGAGTAAAATGACAATGAAGAAATTCAATATGGACAAGTGTGTGTGTGTGTGTGAGAGAGAGAGAGAGAGAGAGAGAGAGAGATCACGGCATATCGAATAATAAGCAACATTCAACATGAATTCATCACACGTCAGTATCTTGTTTTCGCTGCAGTGTTTAAAGTAGCTCACACAAAGACCCTATTGATGTAGGGAGGCTTAGCTGCTCCTGCTATGTGAGAACCTGAGTTCGGATTCTCAGAACCCATGTAAAACTCCTGAATGTGGTAGTGCACATCTGTAATTCCAGCACTCTTTTGGGGTGGTGGGAGCTGGAGAAGACAGAATCCTCAGAAACTCACTGGCCAGTTATCCTAATGTATATACACAATGGCAAACAAGAGACCTATCTCAAACAAGGTGGAATGCAAGGACTGACACTAAGGTTGTCCTCTGAGTTCTCACTATCCATACTCACACTGTAACACACACACACACACACACACACACACTAAATAAATAAATAAATAAATGATGAAAGTGTGTCTGCGGAACCTAGGACACCCTCTGTTACAGGGCCTGGAAGGCTGGCAGGAAGCACAACTGGGAGGCAAACCCTGAGCAAACTACACTTGCTACTCCCCATAAAGCCTAGATGCTGTTAGGGAGCTGGACATGTCAGCCAACCTAGCAACAGTTGCTTGCATGGGTAACAGGTCACATAGCCATGGAAACACTGGAAGGTATGAAATTTGTATACTGTCGGAAAGAGCCAGTGAGAAGTCTCCAAGGCTTTGGAAGGGTGACACTTATCCACTGGGACCATTGGACTTCTATATGCATTGTAAACTTCCAGACTTGTGGGAGACAACCAGAGCAGAAGGAAGAAGCATGTGGGTTTTAATCCTGTCCTGTTAGCCTTCTGATGAGAACCTGTTGGAAAACTCTAGATCATTAGTGGGTTCCCCTTTGTGTACTAAGAGGGTTCTCTTGAGGAACTACTTGTGGCAAAATCAGGAAGACACACTGAGAAACACTGGAACTCCCTGTGTAGGATCAGGCCTGGCTCTGCCCCAGGAACTGGAGGCAGGCTTTCACAGGCTTGGCTGGTTTGCTTTTAGCTTGTGCTGTGGTGTGAATGTGAAATGCCTTCCACAGGCTCGTGGGCATTAATAGGTAGTCCCTGGCTGGTGGCACTGTTGAAAAGGTTGTGAAGCTTTTACAAGACAGGTGCTTTAACCAGCTAAGGCATGGAGCCAACTGCTATGGTTGTGAAACTTTTAAGAGGTGGAGTCTTACTAGAGGAAGTAGGTGTTATAACCTCACTCCCTATCTGCTTGGCCTCCTGACTATCAGTGCAATACAGTTAGCCTCCTTTGGCTCCTCCATGATGAACAGTATCTCCTCAAACCATAAGCCAATGTAAGTGCTTCTTCCCTTAAGTTCTTTCTGACAAATAATTTGATCACAGCAAAGTCTCAGGAAAGAGCAAAGCAGTAAGACAAAGCAGTTGGTGTGTGTGTATATGTGTCTGAATCTGTGTGTCTGTGTCTGTGTGTGTGTGTGTATCTGTGTGTCTGTCTGTCTCTCTGTGTGTGTGTGTGTATGTGTGTGTGTGTGTGTGTGTGTGTATGTGTGTGTGTTATCTGTCTGTGTGTATGCTCTCTGAATGTCTGCATTTCTGTATGTTGCAGTTGGGCCTAAAATTTATTCCTAGAGTTTTTAAATTGCTCCACATCATAAGATCAGGTGTAGAAAGGAGCCTCATGGGCACTGTGGTAGGGGTAAATGAAATAATTCATGCAAAGCACAGAACTATGCTAAGCAAATTCTTAAGAGAAAATGCAGCCATCACAGAAATGAATCCTTTTATTCATTTATTCTACAATGTTGATCACTTAAAGGTTATGTAAAATAAGATCACAGATCTAAAACGCTAAAACAGAGACAGTGGAAAAGGAGTTCTCCTCCATGGAGAACTGGTCCTTTACATGTTAAAACACCAGGCAATTTAGATGCTGTCTATGCAATGAGGTCCTTTCATAAGAGTCTCTTTCTTTTAGCAGTGAGGACAGTTCATGGCACTAGAACAGTGAGCTCAACTCTAGCTCATGAAGCTGAGTGTAGTGACACATGCCTCTAATTTGAGTATTCAGGAAGCTGAGGGAGGATTGTGGGTTCAAGAACAGCCTTGATACATAGTTAATTACAGACTAGCCTCATATGGAGAGACTAGTGTCATTATCTGTTCAAAGGCACAGGACTTATTTGATTATTGCTACATCCTGGGGTTCCAGATATGCAGCTAAGGAGAACTTGTATTCAATTATTGGTCAGTCAGCAAGGCTACCTCACACAGAGTGGTACTGCTTTATCTAGGAATGTTAAACAACTGTTTGTATTAAGACTTTCCGTTATTTCACTGTAAAGAGTTCTGGGCTACTATTGAAGGGGTAATTACTTCATCTCCAACCTGAGGGCTGAGCTAATATTAATAAGGCTGGATTGACACCCACAGGCAGTGGGGAGCCTACTTTCTGTGTGCTTGCTCTACTTCTGCTTATTACATCACCCCTAGATCCCTACTTTTGTTCCCAGCCCATTGGCTGTCTCCTTAGCCCTCAACACAGAATGTGTGATGGATTCTTAATCACTAGCTAGTCTGTGACATACCTAATGGATGGAGTTTTAGTCACCTGAAAGGTCCAAGCTATGAAGGCTACCTTTGGGATCTATCTAGATTGCAGAATCCATAACTCTAACCATAGCAACTCTTGGAAAATGAACAACTTATGGGTAGTATTCTTGGGGACAGAAAGGAGGCAAGAAGAAGGGTATGTTCTGATTGGTACAATTATAAAGTTCAGAAGTATCCAGGGAGTGGCAAATCATTCAGATAAATGAGACTACATTTCTTGAACCTTCTCTCAATGTTGACTTCATGGCATGAATCATCTCCATCAACAACCTTCATACCAACCAAAAACAAATACTTGTCTCTCCATTTTTTGTGTCAAAGGAAGGTTAGGGAGCTTTCTCAGTCTAAAATGTTTGCCTTGCAGGAGTGAGGGCCCTGATTTCAAGCTCCAGGACCCACATGAAAAGACCCAGCATTGTGGCTTGATGTCCAGACAGTCTAGCCTACTTAGAGACTGAGCCCACTGAGGAGCCCTGTCTTAGGAGGTGGATGATGATCCTGAATAATGGTGCTGGATGTTGCCCTCTGACCTCCACATGCATGTGCACACATGTGTAACCTTCACAACTGTGAACATACATTAATTAATTAATGCTGAAAGAGACTCATGTAAATTCAATATATTCCTTAAGATGTTCTATTTAACCAAAAGGAACAAGGATTTAGACCCAGATCTAGTTGGCTTAAATTTTAAAGTCTTCTGATATGTCAGATTATATCCTGTGGCAGTGCAGTACAAGTTCTTAGATGTCTATTTTTTTTAACTGCATAAAAACTAATAATGCGAAACGAGGCTAGCTAAAGAGGCAACGACATCTAACTACCAGAGAAGTGGTGTGGGAGCAATGAGCCAATGCACTGGAGTGTGTCCAAAACTCTTAACTGCCCGCTGTTCTCACAGTCACTCAGACAGCACTGAAGACTCATCTATCGCCAAGCACGGAAGTGAAAGGTTTGCCCCGAGGTCTAGAAAATTATATTTATTTTTTAAATGGCCAATAATTTCAGCAATTCTGAGAAAATGTTACTTGGGGATCAAAAACTTCCTCTTTCTTGATTTCATTTTTCTTGTTTCTCTTTATCCTGCCTTTCCTTAAAGTGGCAAGGACTCACTGTAACAAAGTAACAAAACTAGCTCAGAACAACCTTGGAAAATGGCTAGTTTGAAAGCATAAGAGAATGTCACCATACTAGATGTCCCCAGATTATGATATAGTTGTTAGATTTAGTGTAGGTTAAATTTAAGAGTCTTTTCGTTTATTATGATGGGTTTGCATTCTCTCTTTTTCAGAGCTCCTAACTCTTTGAGTTGTCCTCACTCTTCTGCATTTATCTAAGAGTTTTTAAAAAAAATGATTTGGGGATGGGACAGATGGCTTATCAGTTTTGAGTGATTGTTCCTCTTATGTAAGACCTGAGTTTGGTTCCCAGCAGCTTACAATCACCTATAACTCCAGCTCTGGGGTATCTGATCCCTGTGGGCACCTGCACACACATGCACATACCCACACAGAGAGATGTACACATAAAAATAAGTCTTTTTAATAATGACTTAAAATGAACAAACGCTAAGAAATAGAAACTACAATACAACCTCCTTATCAACCCACTGGCCTCTGTCCATCCTCTAGGGACCAGTACATCCCTTCTTGGACATCCAGTCTTATATCTGTACTTTTTATAAACAACATGTTCATCTGGGAACATGGCAACATAAATAAAATGTTAACTTTTTGTTATTGTGGCTATAGAGATGGCTCAGCAGGCAAAATACTTGCTGCACCAGCAAAGGGACCAAGCCTGGTGCCCAACACCACCAATGAACAACCCAAGCCCAGCAGCATGCTGGAAAGGGCAGAGACAGGAAGATCCCTAGAACTCACTGGTCAGCTAGTCCTGCCAAAATGGTCAGCTTCAGGTTCATTGAAGTGGCCCCATTCTAAAAAATAATGTGAGGGGCCACAAGATAGCTCAATGGTTTACAGCATTTGTCACACAAGCCTGGCAACCAGAGTGTGATTCCCCCAAACACAAGTTGAATGAAAAGTTACATAGACAGTGTCACAGCAGAAATAAGAGAAACTCAGTGACATAAAAGGAGAGAATTAACTTATGGAAAGATGTCATCCTACCTCAACATGCATGGAGCATGCATACACACATATATAATAATGGTGATAGGCTTGTAATGATAA